GAAGGCAGTAACTTAAAGGAGTTTGGCTTTTGTGGTGGGAAAAAGGAATTTTAAAAATATATTACTTATTTTCTTATCTCTAAAATTATTATTCCAAATAACATAAGCCAAAAAAGGAAGGCATTCTTATTTCCTGGTAAAACAAACAAACAAAATCATAACAGCTAGCTAGTCCAGAAGGCATGTTTATTATGTGCTCAGTACCAAACAAAACTCTACCATACTATCTCATCAACCCTCACACCACCACCAGGAGAGAGGTTCTATTATCATTTACACATTCAGAAGAAGAGACAGAGTCATAGATATATTAGATGACTTACCCAAAGTCACCCAATGGTGGAGGGGCAATTTAACCCAAAGAATTTGACTTTAGAGCTGGACATATTAACTTCTATGTGAGACTGTTCCTCCAAACTGAAAAAGGAATCAATTTCACATAAAATTAAAGAATGATAACAAAGATCAGGATAGGAGATGTATTTTAAAAAAAATATCTGGGCCAGCCCTGGTGGCCTAGTGGTTAATTTCGGCACGCTCCACTTCAGTGGCCCATGTTTGGTTCCCGGCACAGACCTACACCACTCCTCTATCAGTGGCCATGCTGTGGTGGTGGCTCACATAGAAAAAGAGGAAGACTGGCAATAGACGTTAGCTCAGAGCGAATCGTCCTCAGCAGGGGAAAAAAAAAAAATCCAACTTGGATAACAATAAGAATGACTATTTTCCTTTAATTTGAGCTTTCCGACAAAAGGCTCACTTGGCACTGTGAAGTGCCAACACAGAAAAAAAAGCCACCACTCCTCTCACTCTATAAATAGATAACTCTAGATTAAAAGGGCCATCTGTAGGACCTACAAGGAACTTTCCCTTTACTACAGACACCCAGCTTCTTGCTTTCATTTGGGAATGTCTTCAGGTTATTTACATATTAATTTTATATGTTAATTCCATTATAAAGTTTTTATACCATAAAAAACAAACAAGCTTTTCACTCACACTGTTCCTCTTTTTTCCTCAAATTCTCAAAAATAAAAACAAAACAAAACAAAAACTTTCTCCAAAGAGGTGAGATAAACCCAAATCATGTGTCATTTGAGTCCTGTCACAACTGAATTACCCTGAATAAACTTCTTAAAGCTTCCTCAAAGAACACCGACTCTGAAAAAATTCATTTTTTCTAACCCCATACCACAGCTTAAATTTTGTAATTTCTTGCCTAAATAATGCTATATTAATGCATTAATTCACATAATAAGTGAAACATCATTCCCCTCAAATTTGCTTCAAGAAAACCATGTTATAATTGACCATCTGACAATACACTGACAAAGGAATTTCCAGACTTTTACATTTATAACGGATACACAACGCCCTCTGCTGTACAAGCTGAGGAAACCTCAAGCTGCAAGTATGCGCAACCAAATAAAGCACAGGCAAAAAATTTTCTGGGAAATCTGTAATTGAGACTTACATTTTGCATTTTTGCACACTACCATTGTATAGATTTTGAAATTCTCTATATGCAGTGAAACATTTTCCTCCACACACTCCTTAAAGCTCTCAGTCTGACCTTTTCTGTCTCATCTGTATTTACAGGTGGAACAGCGTGTTGGGGGCAAATCCCCAAGACCCCAGGGAAATGAACTCTGGGTGTCTCCCTTCCTCTCTGTTCCATCTCTCATACCAGGGAACCGGAAACAGATGAATCAGTAGAACTCTGATTACAATTCCAAACCACTTTCATCCAGAGCGGAGTCATAGACTAAACCTGGCCAAACTGGCAGATGAGAAGAACAGAAGACAAAAAGTATTTTATTTTGAAGAATGGGAGAAGTTAAAAAAATGCTCCATCAACACTAAGAGATTAAAGAGTTACATAAGAGAATCTAAACTTCTAAATTTTTAATATGTTACAGTCTGTGTTGAAGGCATAATGGATCCAAAATATACAAGAGAAGATGTTTCATGATGTTTGAGACATTTTTAACTACACGCACTGAAATGTATTCCCTGCAATGAACCACATTCAAAATTCACTTTAAATATATAATAGTTGTTTAAACTATACAAAGTCTAATTACAACATATATGTAATTAATATACCTTGAAACTGCTTTGAAATATGGACTGTTAGTAAAAAATGACTATAGAAACAAAACATTTTTAAATAAATCATTATAAATTTTTAGAAGTTGAGAAATTCATTATACTTCCATTTTTCTTGACATAATTGCTGCTTCTTTATATGTATAATCTATTTTCATTCAAACTAAACCTGAAAATTGAAAACATTTATCTTAGTGAAGAAGACTTAAAATGTATGATATATAGGCATACCTCGTTTTATTGCACTTTGCTTTATTGTACTTTGCAGATAACCGCGTTTTTTACAAGACTCTCCATCAGCAAAACGATTATGATTTGCTGAAGGCTCAGATGATGGTTAGCATTTTTTAGCAATAAAGTATTTTTTAATTAAGGTATGTACATTGTCTTTTCAGACATAACGCTATTGCACACTTAACAGACTACAGTATAGTGTAAATGTAACTTCTATATGTGCTGGGAAACAAAAATTCATGTGACTCACTTTATTGCAATATTCACTTTATTACAGCGGTCTGGAACCAAACCTGCAATATCTCTGAGGTATGCCTGTAAAGGGATAAAATAACTAAACAGCAGTTACGAAAAAACGACTCAAAGAAATGCTGTTTTAAATTAAAGAGAATGTGCCTCTGATCTAGCACATTTTAAGGTTTTTGTTTTGTAAAGGCAAATTTGGAGCACCCTCTAGTGGAAAACTGGTGATGAGAAGCTTAAAGCCTTCTGTTTCAGAAATTTTATAATTAAATTTCCAGAAAACAAATAACTGTGACCTGAGCCAAAGAAGTATATTAGGTAGACTCCTCTTCCCAAATCTCACCCTTAAAATATTCCCTTCAGCATACACAGACACACACATACACACACACACACAGACACACATACACACACACACACGACACAGCAGTCCTCAAAGTCCAACAGAAAAAGGTCTATTATTTATCAATTTTCAAAAGAAGAGACAAGTAAGATCTGTGAATATAACATTATAGATGTAATGCTACTCTACACATTAAAGAATTCCATTGTGGTTATAAAATGATTACAACATAAAAACAAATGTGGTTAAAAGATTCAACCGAATTATAATTCTTTCCAAATACACCATAATGTTTTATAAATATCCTTTGCTAAATTAGCAAATTTGGCAAGAACCTCCATGACACTATGATTACATTCCTTTGGTCTTGGTTATCAAAGGGACTGCCTGGCCTTGACACAGACATGGGTCTCACGTGCAAATTCTACCACAGATAATTTTTTACACTAATAATTTAAAATTGAATATATGAAATTCCATATTATGTGAATTAATAGGGTTATTATGTTAATAATTAGTCAGACTCCACTCCATGTATTATGTTAAATTCTTGGTATCACAATTTGGAGGAATACTAACAAAACAGAAAATGTCCTTACCTGAGAGACTATTTTAAGAGTACTTTAAAATTTATTTTCTGTGAAATACTGAAGAAACTTGGAGTATTTAGCCCAGGAAAGAAAAAGCTACATAGAAGAGCAGAAATATTTATTCATTCATTAATTCAACACTGATTTATCAAACACTTTAGCTAGGTGGTGGCAAACTGGGTGGGCAGGGTCCCTGCTCTCACGGAACCTGCATCCTGAATGGGAGCAGATGATGACAAGAATGAGGGCCAGGATTTCTGTCTGCTCTGCTCGTTTTGGCATCCCCAGCACCTAGAACAATACTTGGCACATTGTAGGTGCTCAATAAACATTTGGTGAATTACATAAAAAAGATAACTTCAGCTAGTGAGAAGTGCAATAAAGGAAACAAAACAGAATAATAAATAGAGAGTAATGGAGGGGGTAGGGTGGCAGGTATATGTCATTTCAGATCAGAGAGTTAGAACAGGCTTCTCTAAAGAGATGCCATTCAAACTCAGACTTAATAACCAACGTCAGACTGGCGAAGATGCGAGAGAAGAGCTTGCCAGGAAGAGGAAACAACAAGGGCACTTGCCTGAGGCAGGAGTGGTTTGACATTCAGACACTCAAACTGGTCAGTATGGGTAAGGCACCACGGCCATAGTAGAGGTCAGATTTTTATTCAGTTTGGACAAAAGATGTTGGTAGCTTCAAATGGGGTCAGAGCAGTGGAAATGAAGAAAATGGGTAACTTCATGATCTATTTTGGAGGTGCGGAGTAGACGAGATTTGCTGACAGGTTCACTATGTGAGATGAGGCCAAGAGTAGAATTAAAAATGACTCCTAAGTCTCGGGCTTAAACAAAGGGGTGGATGACGTTGCTATTCACTGAGATGGGAAAACAAGGTGAGGAGCAGGTATTAGGCAAGTAGTGGAGAAAGAAAACAACTTTTACAACTGGTTATATAATTAGGATTTCAGTGGCTAGATTTAGTTTGAAGCTGATGAAATGGATTGAAGTAGAAAGCTATAAGTTTGGAAGTTGTTTGCACAGAGATGGTGTTTAAAGCCATGGGGCCAAAGAGTTATCAGGAAGAAGGGGGATGTGAATGATTATCCCACGGAACTCCGAGGGGAAAAGCAAAGGAAGATAGGGGTTAATGTGAGTTACATGTAGTTTCATAAGAGAAAGAACATTCCAACATTTTAACTAGAGCTGTACAGCAAGAGACTGGACTGCCTGCATACATTATGGTCTTTCCATCAAAGGAGGCATTTTAAGAAGCAAGGCTATAACCCTCTGTAGGATTACTACTGAAGTGATTCTTATAGGGGATGAGAGTTCCCCTAGATGTCCTTCAAAGGTACCATATAAAGGGACTTGTAAGAGCCTATGATTTCTCTTCACTTATGCAACTTATTTTGTTACTAAATAGATTCCAGGGTAAAAATCACTGGCATATAAAATGTTTACCTGCTAGTAGCCACTGTTTGTTACCTGTTTTTGTGAGCAAAAGGTTATCCAGGTGCCTGTCTCCAACTCCAAGTATATATGTAATCACACAATAACCAGCTGCAACGACAGTTCAGAAAAGAAGAATTGTGAAAAACACACGCAAACCAGGTTATACATACAATTGAATATAAAAGCATTTTGTGTTACTTTAATTTCAATTTGATTATTACTTTTTGATTTCTCACCTAAATTCTCAAATTAAATGTGTAATCTTCTTTGACTCTATGAAGAGTTTATCACATGAAACTAAAAATAGATTACCATTTGCAGCAGAAAACATATCCTGTAGAGTGTTGTCAAATTATAAAAGTCATTTGTATCATAAGTTAAATCAGGTTTCAGGAACCTTAATTATAACACTTGTCTACCATTTCTCATTTCAAATTGGACACATGTTAAAGATGACAGTGAAAAAAGTGTCGACAGAAATACACATAATGAATACAACCCTGTTGTCTAAGAGATAACAAAAGAAAATGCAGGGTTTAAAAAGAAAATCTTTAGAGAAACACTCTTGAAGCGCCAGCAGACAGAAAAACAAATGAATTCACTTCAGTGTTAAGGCATTCATGAAGTTCACAGCATAATCTAAATTATTAAGAAAAATTACATGAGCAGGGCTTGGGGCAGAGTCATTGGCTCTAGCTTTATTCTCTTTTATCCTTCTCTTCAAAAAGTCTGGAAACCTGGCATGTGTTGAAAATGCTCAAACAAAATTAAGCAAATAACACCTTTTTGAAGCTTATTTTTTTCCACTCTATTTCTCCCATTAGTAACCTGACAACAAATATAACTTGCAAACATACATATGACTATACTAGTATTTAGAAAAACATGTTTATTTCAGCCAATATGTAGAAAAAAAATCGGACCACCTGTTAATGACCAAATTAACCATGCACAAATTCAATAAATATTAAGGTTCATTTGACTTAGGTTCTGAAGGCCATTCTGGAAGTCCAAAAGTGACTTAAACAATGACATCATCATTGGATTAATCTTTAATTATTAATTAATAGTAATGACAGTTTCAATTTATTGAAAGGTAGGTTCTTAGCTAGGCACATTACATTCATCATTTCTAACCCTTTTAATGATGCCAGTTAAGTCTTATAACCATCCTTCAAGTGAAAAAACCTCAGACTCTAGGAAAAGGATTGTCTAAGGTCATTGGGCTGGGATTTGAACCTAAGTTTGACTCTAAAGTCCTCGCTCATGCCATTTTTGCACTGTGTAACTCCTCTTCCCCAAAGAGGCTATTTTTTTTTTTTTTCGGATGAGGAAGGTTAACCTTGAGCTAACATCTAGTGCCAATCTTCCTCTTTTTGCTGAGGAAGATTGGCCCTGAGCTAACATTTGTGCCCATCCTTGTCCATTTTATACGTGGAACGCCTGCCACAGCATGGCTTGATAAGTGGTGGGTAGGTCTGCACCACGGATCCGAACCCAGGCTGAGGAAGCCGAGTGCGAGAACTTAGCCACTACACCACCAGGCCGGCCCCCAAAGTGGCTATTTTGATAAGTGCAACACTCAACAAGATATTTAAGCTCAAGTATATTTGTTGAGCATAATTAACCATATTCTAATTATAGAGAAAATTATATATTACATATATTTCAAAATATATCTATATGTAGAGAATGAATGAAAGATAGCATACTATCATTCAAAACTGCTTCTAATCATATTACTATTCTACTAATAATTTTCACTTAACTGTTACAAATCAGTTACAGTTGACTAAACAAATCACTTATTCTCAAAATATAGTCTGTAGTGTGACAGGGACTACTAGTTTGCCTACAAAATATCCTATCTATGCTTCTTTCTTAAAACAAAACAAAAGCAGGATTTATGGGGCAAGACCGTGCCTAGGTGAAGGACTACATTTCCCAGCCTCATTTGCAGGTAGGCATGTCCAATGAAATGTAAGCAAATGTAGTTTTGTGATAAGCATTTTTAAAAAGGAGACCAACTGGGCTGGGAGGTGAGCCGTTAAGGTTTTTTCTCCTCCCTGGTTAGACTGCAAACACGATGACTGCAGATACAGGAGTGATTTGGGACCAAAAGAATCACAGAGACCTTGGTGACCCTAATATCCTTAAGAAGCTAAAACAACAAGAGCAATGGCTTACATCTGGGCTTCTTACAAAAAAGAAACTAATTCTTATGTGGGTAAGCCACTCTAGCTAGATTATGTTAACTGCAGCTGAACGCAATTGCTAACACATTTAGCGGTCCACTGGGGGACTCAAGGGTCATTTACATAAAGGGTGAGCAAATACAGTTTGATGGCCAAACCCGGTCCCCCCCTGTTTTTATATTTTATAAATAAAGTTTATTGGAACACAGCCACACCCATTCATTTACATATTTACAGAGTAGATTAGAGGATCTTTAGGGAAACTGAAGTTATTCTTTAACTACAAGGGAAAGACTATACCTGTCTGAGATAATCTTGTCAAAAGGCTGCTGTTTATTAGTATTTTGACCCCATGTGAGATGCACAACATCCTGAAATTGGTTTTATAAAACAACTTTGATTTAAAGTAAAATACAGGGCCAGCCCCATGGCTTAGCGGTTAAGTGCTCGTGCTCCCCTACTGGCGGCCCGGGTTTGGATCCTGGGTGCGCACCGACGCACTGCTTCTCCGGCCATGCTGAGGCCGTGTCCCACATACAGTAACTAGAAGGATGTGCAGCTATGACATACAACTATCTACTGGGGCTTCAGGGGGAAAAATAAATAAATGAAGTTTAAAAAAAAATAAAATAAAGTAAAATACAGAGAAATATAGACAACTAAACGATACTACTTCCCTTTACTTAGTAAAGACGTGTGTGTGAGAAAAATCAGTGTTCTCCTATTTACTTGCATGATATAGACTTGACACTTTGCATAACCTGGAAAAAATGTCACCATAACTATTATCGCTTTCTTCTTACACGCTGCCAAAAACCTAAAACATTACTTTCTAAAATGAAAGTTATACACACATCTATATGATAATGTCCAACAATCAGATTCTAGTACAAAGTAGCAACTTATTAAGCATTGAATCCTCTAATGAAAAATTCAAGCTATGGCTTTCAGCCTCCAACATTACCTGGAATGCTACCAACCTCACTGAAACCCAAAAGACAATGTTGTAACATAGTAAAATAAATAGAAAACAGAAGGCTATTCAAATAAGATGAAGAGAAGGCTTGCCATCAAATCAGTTATGAGGGAATGATTAAATGTATTAATGTTGGGAAAAAAGAGGAACAAGATCTAATTTGAATTTAACTGTCCAACAGGTATAATTTAAATGGCTATTTTTTTTACATGAAAAAGCCACTCATATTTTCATCAGCTCTTGGGAAAAAAATGGAACATTATAGAAAAGGCACAACACTATGACCTTTAGCATATATCCATAATACTCTTCCAGTAATTTTACTAAGTGAGCAGGGTTTTCAAATTTTAGTCAACATTTATAGGTTGTGTGTGTGTGTATGTATATTTCAAGTAGAAAAAGTTAATATTCCTTTATTAAATAGATTTATGATATAAAAAAGTTTACAGTAATTATCTGAAAGTTAAGTAAAAAGACACAAGATAAGTATTTGAGGTCATGCAAAATATGTCATGTAATAAGATACTGAGAACTAGGTGTGGTGGATTAAAGATGGCCACACGTTCTTTAACATTCAAGGTAGGAATGTTAGGCTTTTCATTCAAGGTGGGAACTATATCCTCTCTTCTTGAATCCAGGCAGGCTCTGTGACTGCTTTGATCACCGCAATATGACAGAACTGACAAACTACCAGCTTTCCAGTCTAGGCCTTCAAAAACCAACAGTTCTACTTCCTGCATCTTAAAATACTTCCTCCAGGAACCCAGCTCTGAGAAGCCCAAGCCACAGAGAGGCCATGCATAGGTGACTTGATCGACAAGCCTTGATGAAAGACAGTATAAACTACCAGTCATGTGAGTGGTCTATATTAGATGTCCAGCCTAGTCCAGTCTTTAGATGAGATGTAATTTTTTCACATCATAAAAAACACAGACTTGAAGGTCTGAAAAAAACAGGACAGAAGCAAAAAGGAGGAAAGGTAGGAAAGCAAGGAGGGAGGGAGCGGGGGGAGGGGAGAAGGAGAGAGAAATACAGAGTGGGAGAGCAAGGAGCAGTAAGAGAAGGGAAACATTTTCTCTGGAATGTTGCAATCAATGTTTTTTGTCTTTAAATTTAAATACACTGTATGTGATCATTTTTATGGGTAAACACAGTTACATATAACACATGTTATTTTCCTCCAGTAAAATAAGAATTAAAACCATAAAGGATTCTAATACATATACATTTTATTTCCATGTTTTTAAAGTTCCTAAGAATATTACATTTTCTTTATACTTCTCAGCCAAAAAGATATCAGCAAGTATAAATTTGGGAATAAATTATGGGTTTTAAAATAATCTAGAACACTACCTCACAGGAGCATTGTGAAAAACAAAGAAAAAGGTATGTATAAGAAAGCAATTTATAAACCATAAGATGATATGAAAGTTTAAATACAATTGTTATATGTCTAGAAAGCCCTCTACTTGCTTCCCCCAGCTTTGATTACTTAGGTACAGGTATAAATATGGATATAAACATAAATAAATATAATATTTATATAAAACAGGAATAACATATTACATACCAGATATCATTCAGGGCTCAGTTCAAGTGTCAACTCCTATAATTAACTTTCAATTAAACAATGTAGTTATTAAAAAAAAATCTTTTTAAGAAAATAAAAAATAATCCTCTAGAATATAAACTTCATGAAGACTGGCATAAATGGTTGAAATATATGAATTAATCCTTATGGCATGCTGCTACTTACTTATTTCCAGGAAGGGACCATAAGAACTAATCTAAAATACCATGAGAGGAACCCTCGTAACACAACACTGTTATCCTAGCTCTTGAGATTTATCGAAAACATAATTATTGCTGACTGAGACTTTGCCCACAGTCTACTTAATTGCAGTTACTCAAACAGAGGGAAAATCTAGGGGAGAATCATCAGCTTCCAAGAAGAGATAACTTGTAGTTATAAAATAGTTAAGTGATTGCAAAGATACATCTATTAAAGACTAAATAGATTTATACCTCATTACTACTATTATGTCAAAACATTCGTGACTTCTTTTATCAACACTTTATATCTTTTAATCTTCTCATAGAGCATTTAAGTCTGCTATGGTCCGAATGTTTGTGTCCCCCCCAAAATCCACATGTTGGAATCCTAATACTAATGTGTTGATATTAGGAGGTGAGATCTTTGGGAAGTGCTTAGGTCACGAGGATGGAGCTCTCATGAATTGGACTAGTGCTCTTATAAAAGAGCCCACAGAGCTCCCTAGCCTTTTCTATCACATGAAGATACAACAAGAAGTCTTTTGACCCAAAGAAGGCCCTCACGTGACCACGCTGGTACCCTGATCTCAGATTCCAGCCTCCAGAACAGTAAGAAATAAATTTCTGTTGTTTATAAGCTACCCAGTGTCTGGTATTTTGTTATAGCAGCCTGAATGGACTAAGACAAAGTCTTAACATGTTCTAAATGTGTATGAATATGGCATTATCAGGACAGCCTGCATTCCTTTATTCAAACATATTGATGGGAAGTAATAGCTTGAAAAACTTACCACAGCTTTTAACATAAGTGTCCATAACCTCAGCACTGATCCCATTTGGCCCATTCTCACTTGGTGCATATTTTCTAAAAAAGTTCTGAAAAGATATTACTTACATGTTTACAAATTCAATACAATCCTTAGGCATTTCAATATTGTAAATAATGACCAACAGGGGTCTGGTCTAAAAACTTAGTCAATAATTATAAAATGTGGATTTTAGGAAGCATACTCTTCAGGAATCAGTCTTAGTACTATGCTTACAGACTGCTAAGACAAAACATATGCTACTTCTGTACCATGGGGAAAACATAAATAAAATAAAATAAATTTACTGCTATATTTCTATACTTAATATATCACTTTGTTTCATCTTTCTCCTGAAAGTGAACATGAGGGATTTTTTGGTATCATACATTCCCCTGAAAATGAACAAGAGTTTTTAAAATCACCTTTTAAGTATAGCTACTGAAATGCTGTTACCATTAACAAGTTCAATGGAACTACATCCAAAATTTGTAAATAATTATAATGCAAGTGCTAAGAAGTCTCAGAATTCAGAAATTGATAGAGAGATGAAGATAAGAAAAATGCGAACTGAACAAAAGAATTATAGGGGCACAACAAATACACTAGAGTGTCCAAAGAGTCTGGAAACAATGGGGGAAAACGTGTAGTTATTTTTTTTTCCGATTACCAACTGGACCTATTCCCTTACATTTAGTTGTTACAGAAAAACATACAGAGTATATTATTTGAAAAAGCAACTAACATACTGTTAAAAAAAATAAGTTTATCCTACATTTTTAACTTTTATGAACACCCTGTAAGTTTGACAAAGGATCTATATCTATACATATATCTAATATAATATATCTATACAATATAAATATAAAAAATATATCTAAATAATATATCTAAAAAATATCTATATACAAATAACTCCTATAAATCAACAAGAAAAAGATAAACAACCCAATGGGATGGGCAAAGTATGTGAATAAGCACTTCACAGAAGAAATAAACAGCCTGTACATACATATACATATATATATTTTTTATTTTGCTGAGGAAGATTGGCCCTGAGCTAACATCTGTTGTCAATCTTCCTCTTTTTTTGCTTGAAGAAGATTAGTCCTGAGCTAACATCTGTGCCAATCTTCCTCTATTTTGTATATCGGTTGCTGCCACAGCATGGCTGATGAGTGGTGTAGGTCCATGCCCGGGATCCAAATCCATGAACCTGGGCTGCTGAAGCGGAGTGCACTGAACCTTAACCACTATGTCACGGGGCCAGCCCCAACTATACATATATTTTTAAATGCTCAACCTTGTGGGTAATCACGGAAATGCAAACTAAAGCCACAATAAAATACCAAAATTTAGAAGTCTGACAATACCAAGATTAGGCAAAGATGTGTAGCAGTAAGAAACACAAGAGGTGAAACTATTTTGGAAAACAATTTTTAACTACTATCTACTAAAGTTGAAGATGAGAATAACCTATGACCCAGCTAACTATTTATACAAATTGACATGGAACCAAGAATCAATATACAAACTATCATTGTTTTTATTTTACAAAAATCATAATTGCAGAGTAACATAATAATTGATAACTTTATTAAACAATTACTTCAGTTAGGACCTATGTTAAAGCTCTACATACATTTCATGTTATTGTTAGAACAATCCTAGAGCTAGGTACTGTTAATTATTACACAAATAATACAGATACAAAAACTGAGGCTTGAAGGGTATTTTAGGGGGTCCCCAAGGCCTCAGGCTGCTTTAATTTGTTTGATGGAGTCAGACTCAACATATAGTTGTACCACAATTAAGGTTTATTACAGCAAAAGAATACAAGACGGGATCATCATGGGAAAAATACACTGGCAACGTATGGAGAAATCCATGCAGAAGCCTCCTTGCTCTCTTCTGTGAGGGGATACACCAAGCATACTTACTACTTTTCTTCAACAGTGCGAAAAAAAAAAAGGAGTGATGTGGTGCAAGGTTTCTGTCCAGGGAAGCCCATTAGGGACTCAGCACCCAAGGCTTTTATTGGGGGCTGGTCTTATAGGTACTCTCTCTCTAGCAATTATCAAAATTCTAAAAGGAAAGCAGGTTATTTGCTATAAATCACATTATTTGTGCAGTATTGGCACAGTGAAACACCCTTATCAGTTAGAAAAACACTGAAAGCCAAGTTCCCAGAAAGCAGCCAAAGGCTAACCTCATAAGCAGGCCTTTCTCAAGACAGTAGCCTCAGGCCTGCTAGATTAACTCTTTTCTGCAGCAAGGGTTAAGCAGTGACTCAACGTTGTTACAAAGCTAGGAAGCTGCATAGCCAGACTTCAACCCCAGGCAGGCTGGTGTTCTGAGCCTCAGCTTTTAACCACTGCACAGGACTGCACCCCAAACCTAAGAACAGAATAACGACTTGCTTTGCCAAGAAATCAGAGTGATGCTTGCCTGCAAATCTAAATTCCATACTGAATTACTGGGACACTCTAAACTGGGAAAGACAAAAACACACTGTAGCAAATATCCTCTATCAAGCCCCTTCTCTACATTATCTTTCATCTCAGGCATATCAGTTTTTCTGTGTGAATTACATACATTTTTCTTATATAGGGAAAAAGAAAAATTATATCTAAGAGGTAACAAAAATAAACCATTAAGATGAAATAAGAACTAATCTGTCTATTTAAAATGTCAAAAAATTCCAAAGATTTACATGGCTTAGTCCCAGGAACTACTCACTTTTCCTTTTATTAAAGGAGAGCAATAAGGTTGAGGGGGGAGGAAAGGAGTATCAAAAAAATAACTGTGCAAAACATGTATGAGCGAGAATATCACTGTAGCACTTTTCTGAATAACAACAAAAACTGGAAATAATCAAAATGTTCATTAATGGTCAAATATATTATAATGCTTTCATACTTTGGGATATAACCATAAAATTTAACAAATTTTTAATTTTTTCATCAATTAATTCCTGATCTATTACGTGCTAGGCACTGTTTAAGGAATTGAGCATCTATATATACTAACATGGAGGAATTTCCAACTATTAGCACTGTTTACTTCTGAGAAAAGGAATAAAACTTGAAGGAAGAAGGGTGAGAAAGGGAGACTTTCATTTTTAATTCTATATACTTTTTATAACAATATATAAGAATATATTCATGAACTGTATAAATCTTTAAAAGAGATACTGTACCTGAATGCTTCCTTCTGTATCAAGAACTTCAGCAACAGGAACTGACTGAATAAACTGCATGAAGCCTACACAGAAATATATGCATTGCATTAAGCACAGCTATTGTTTTTTGTTTTTTTTTTTTTTTGTGTGCGTGAGGAAGACCAGCTCTGAGCTAACATCTATTGCCAATCCTCCTCCTCTTTTTTCCCCAAAGCCCTAGTAGATAGTTGTATGTCATAGTTGCACATCCTTCTAGTTGCTGTATGTGGGACGCGGCCTCAGCATGGCCGGAGAAGTGGTGCGTTGGTGCGCGCCCGGGATCCGAACCCGGGCCGCCAGTAGCGGAACGTGTACACTTAACTGCTAAGCCACGGGCTGGCCCATAGCTATTGTTATGTCAACTTAAAAGCAAATTCATCTGTTATTTTATCCTCAAAACGAGTTTATTTGGGAACAGCCAAAAGAATTGCAATTGGGGATGTGCAAGCTATGGTAAACCATAGGCAAATCCAGAAAACAAAAGAAGGGAGCCGCTTTTATGGAGAAACAGGGGAAATAGGGAAAGACTATTCTAAATGAAGTTGAGCAGTGGGGTGGGGGCAGCGGCACAGTTCAGGGTGGCAACGGCTTCTCATTGGTTGAGCTGCAGCATTTCTCATTGGCTGGGCTATTGCCAGGTGGGGAAAGAAATCTTCCTTCAGTAGTAAAGTAGTTTTACTTCCAGTCCAAGATGCAAGCCTATGCCTATGTCTCTTCCTGGTTGGTGTGATTGACAATGTATGATAGGGCGTGAGAACTCCCCCTACAGGCCTTCCTGACTCCAATTTACTTAAGCTTTCTTTTTATTAATTTCCACATTTGGTTAAGCAATAAAAATAAAGGTTCTGCTACGAATAACCTTCATTTACAAATGTATACACTAGATACCTGAACAACTTAAAGAGGTCTGTAAACACTATATTAAGTTTATACTGGCATTTATGTCATAGGAACAAGGAAATTTTTTAAAAAATTAAGCTGATTTAGTGTGCATGTTTCTCTAGGCCAATTACTATTACTGTACACAAAGAATACAAAGTAATAGACTAAGCTTCTTAAACCAGGCATAAAAATTTCTTCTTTCTGTAGTTTTATAACATATATCCATTAAAAATATTCCAAATTTAAAATCACTTTAAGTAATCTGAAATTGTTTTTCTACTACGTAGCAAGAACTTTGCCAGGTAAAAAATAGAGCCTTGAACCTGCCATCACAGATCGTGCAAGCCTACAAGTTTTATTGGGATAAATACTACAAATGAAAGGGTACTCTGAAAGGAAATTGTGTAGGGAGACCTAAATTACAAGAGATCAGAGGGCATCTGACATTTGAGCCATGTTTTGAAGGATAATGAAAGTTAATAGGTAAAGTTGTGGAAGGAAGGATGTTAAAGACAATGATCATAGCATATGAGACGGCCTTAAGGCTTAAAAGAGCACTTGAGAAATTGGAAGGTGGCTGGTGCTGCTAACGCCTAGGAAACAAGGCAGAGAGGGGCAAAAGAGAGGCTTGAGAGACAGGTGCAGACGGGATGTCACACCATGCTGGAACTTGTAAACTAAGCTAAGGCTTTTGTCTTTGTCCCAAGAGCAAATAAAAGCTAGTAAATCAGGTATGCAGGATAGTCAAAGAGCATATTTGCACTTTTAACAAGATCATTCTGAAAGGAAAATGAGAAGAGGAATTAAAACATCAAAAAGATTTGGGAGTGGCCAGGGGAAGGGTAGGAAACCTAAAAGAGATACTTTTGTTTCTCCAACATAGCTAAGGGTAAGAAGCTCTAAAAGTAACAAGACTGTGGAATTCACAATAGGCATTAGGCAAGCATTTCTAGGGAATCTTCCACCAAACTTCCAGAGGTTATTCAATCTCAAAACGACTTAGATGCTACAGATCTAGATAAAAAATTAATTATTAATGCAACGTCATTTGTCGAGTGGCTTTTATAAGCAGAGCACAGCACAAAGCCACTCTGGTCATAGTAACTTTCAAATGATGATTAAGGACACAGATCACCATGTAAGAAACTACTGTGAATTATAATCAGTTTTGAATGCAAAAAAATACATCACAAAGGTGTTAATTTTTCTTCCAAATATGCTGTTTAATGATTTGACGAGGAAGGAATGGAGGGAGGGAGTGAGGGAGGCAGGCTGGCCCAATCGGTCTTCAGCGCCTCAAATGAGTTCAGTCTCTAACATTCTCAACACCTTTCGATTAGAAAAGGAAAAGTATACTCATTGGACATTGAAATAAACAATCATGGTATAAAATAAACTTACCATGTTTTGTACTAGTGGCTAATACTTTATAGGGTGTCAACTTCAAATCCAGATTTTCTTTCCGTAGCAGCTTTTGATCAAAAGACAAAATATATTAACCAAATGTAAATATTGTTATGAAACAATTTTGCAGGAAAGTACTACAGCAGTTTAATATAAGAGATTTAGGAGGTTAAACCTAAATTAGGTTTAACTAAATTAATTAACTTTCATCATCAAAATAAATTTATTAAGCACTTACTTGATGGTATGCCAAATTTTTTATATTATTCTAAATCACTGTTAGTAGTTTTCAATGAACAGTAGGGTTCTTCCTACTCATTTATGCAGTTTTTTCTTGTCATAAAGTATTACAGAACTCAGAAAAAAGAAAATGAGAGCAAATATGTTCCTTTAAAACCCAGGGACAGGAATGAGATTTTAAAAACAAGAAGATCTAGTTGACTAAGAGGAAGGAAATTATTAAATCCAACATGGAGAGATCTTGACTGGGAAAAAAGTTTTTATACAAAGGAACACATGCAGTTTCATTTTATACTCATCACAAGAGCCATTCTGTACAACAGCAGCCAGATTTGTTCAAGGTCAAGTGGAGGTTGCTGAGCTTTCTAGATTGTACTTGAACGTTACAAACACTTCCATGTCCATACCTAGCATATGCATTAAACCACAGTTTTCTAAAATGAAATAATGTTCCCCACTGACATAAGGTTATAGGCACCTTGTCCATGAGTGAAATGATTTGAAGAATAAGTTGATCTTGGCGTAAATCGTCTCCATGCTTAAATATAACTGGATATTTGCCTCCATCTTCTGTCTTAAAGAACAACTGTGCAGGCATAAGAGCACTCTGGAAATAAAAAATATAGTTTTCAAATTTGGATGTAAATTAATGCATGAAGATTTACAATAGAGAGAAGGAAATGCTGACATGTAAGGTAAACAAACAGATAAACAGGACCGAAACAAACAAGATGGGTTGGCAGCAAGATGCATTCGGCTACCTGGGAGAGAACAGTGAGCTGGCTAATAGTCAGAAGACTACATGGTATAAAGAGCACAGCTCTGGAGTCAGTCATGGGTATGAATCCAAGCTCTGCCAGATACGTGCTGAATGATCCTGCGCATATTCTTTAACCTGTTTCCTCACCTGTAAAATAAAGATAACACCTCCTCTGCAGAGTTGCTAAAGCAATCAGAAATTGTAGAGGTCAAGAGTCTGGCACCACGCCTAATAACAGAGCAGACATTCTACATATGCACACCACTATTATTTTATTATTGGAGGCATACTGGAGCAAAAGAGGTGAAACAGTGCAGCAAAAAAATGCACCAGATAAAAGTCAAGAACCCTGGTTACCAACGGGCAGGTATATGACTAGTCGTGCAGCTCTGAAACTCAAATTCCTCTTTTATAAAAGGAAGGGAGATCTCAAATATCTGTATCTTTTATTCTGGAATAACTATATGTTTTCCCCAGAATCTTTACTTTAACTAGATGAAATCTTGGATTTAGTTTAGATAAATGTTTTTTTTTTTTTTTAATAATTTTATTTATTTATTTTTTTCCTCCAAAGCCCCAGTAGATAGTTGTATGTCATAGTTGCACGTCCTTCTAGTTGCTGTATGTGGGACGCGGCCTCAGCATGGCTGGAGAAGCAGTGCGTGGGTGCGCAGCCTGGATCTGAACCCCGGGCCGCCAGCAGCGGAAGGTGCTCACTTAACCGCTAAGCCATGGGGCCGGCCCTAGGTAAATGTTTAAACCAACAAAAAATGAAATTAAATTCTCTTCAGAAACAAAACCTCACATGGAGTAGCACACTGAGACGACTACTTTGGGAATAAAAGGTCAGAAAACTGTCCTGTGAGAGACGCGCTATTGGTCTTGATGACTGAGAAGAAATTATACAAGATGGAAATGTGGAGAAATTTATAATAATCTAAATAAAAGAAATGAGTCTGACAAATAAAGAAAACAAACGATAATAATCTTAATTTACAAAGGCCATGAGAAATAATGGAACAAAAAGTATCACACAGACGGATGAATAGACATGTGACAAAGCAAATGCAGAAAAACGTTAACAGAATCAAAGTGATAGGAAAACAGTAGTTTACTGTAAAATTCTTTCAACTTTGTTGTATATTTGAAAATGATCCTATAAAACGTTGGGGAAAAAGGCATCAAAAATTCTTCAAAGAATATATGTTTAGAACTTATAACCTCTAGTGGACTGCAACTCTGAACTGTATCTTAAATTTGGACTATCCTTTTATCACCCCAGGCAAAAATACACTTTACAAATTATCTTTTGCTCTAGTTCACAAAAGCTCAAGAAGAATACTGGAAGTGATTTTCCTAAAGATAAATGATAGGCAAGAGGATCTTTGTTGTAATTTCCCTTTTTAGATTCAGATCTGATTCTGAAATTTAGATTCTATCTGAAATCTAAAGCAAGCAGATGACAACCACAGGGCAACTGGCACTATTCCCAGTACCTTAACGGGCTCACTCTCCATGAAGATCTAGCTTCAGCTATTCAGCTAAGGTCTAAAAAATACTGTTTAAAAATACCAAAAACTGGGTCCACAACCTTTTTAGTTCTAAGAAGTTCATAAAAGGACAAGAATTCATGGATTCTCTTGCAAGAAATTTCAAGGGATATTTCCCAAGCAGAAATTTCAGCGTGTGGGCAACCATATGGTAACTATCTCAAATGTATAATCCATCACTTTCATTGGACTCTCAAAGGCATTCATGACACAAAAATGATTAAGAATTACTGTGGTAGAGTTATGTAGTAAATGTCCTAGAACCATTAATCCTAAACTCCAACTCAGAAATTTTAAGAATGTCCAAATACTTAAGGGCTGGAAGAAAAAAATCAGGACTGGATATTAGGATCAAATGAGATGTCTCATGATATTTTATTGACCATCTACTTTGTGTATATAAGACACAATTATAAAATTATATAATTAAGGAAAAAAATGGGTCCAGAATCCACCTAACAATAGTATAAGATATTCTTACACCTCACTCTTACAACTCCTGCTCTATCTCTTAGATATTCTTTTTCATCCTGTTAGAAAAAAGTGATAAAACTATCTTTTTGATTCACTGCTCTTGATTAGTCCTTAGGGAATGAGAGTATTAGAAGCTGGTCTTATTTGGGAGTTCCAGCCCAAGGGAACATCAGTTGTTACACGTATACCATCTTGGGCGTAGCTCTTTATATTTCAGCCTCCAGTGGACTGTAAGCACGAACTAAGAAATATTTGCACATTTTATCTCCTGTATCAGTACTTTTCAAATTGCAGGTTATAATCCATTAAGGAGTTTTAAAACCAATTAAATAGGTAGCAAGCAACATTTAAAAATTAATGCAACAGAATAGTTTTTAAAAGAATGGAAACTATCAGAGTCCATAACACGCAGTAAGTTTAAGTACTGCTTTATGAAACTTATGTTTCAGTTGTGTAAGCTGGGCTGCCATACGTTGCCTTTAATCATACCCTTAAAAAATCTGAACTATTTCTTCCTATAATCACATCTCTTTTTATATACCTAAGCTGTTGTTCTATGAGTCTTTTCTTATCTGATGCAAAGTAATATCCCAATGCAACTTATGACCTCCACCCTGGAATCACAAAACCTAAAACACAGTGACCTTTCATTATGATGCCGGGCAGATAATGATGGTTCAACAGGTAGTGATGCTCAGTCCCTTGGCCCAATTACAGAAGGCAGCAGCCACCAGCCATTTCTATCTATCCAAGAGGTGGCCAAAAGAAAGCCTGGCATGCTATTAAGGACTAAAAAGAATTACTACTTGAAAATATGAGAAAAAATTTAAGTCATAAGAACAGATAGCAGATTGAGAAATGTTAAAAAGGTTAACTAGGACTCATACCTAACCATGTGAACTTATGAACTGAATATAAAATATAAGTTTGCAATTTAACTTTGTTAAAAAGAAAGCTTACTTGGAAAAAAGCAGGTAGTGGCTCTGATTAATAAATAGTTTAAAGAATTAAAGATTAAAAAACAACCCAGAGATATAAAAATATTTTACACATTTCATATAAAAACGCCTATTGGTAATACAAGATCTTATATCAAAACATACTGATAAGTAAAAAGTACCTTTTTATCCAGTATTTACTAAATCAAATAAAGTTATAGATATTACTTGCAATGTAATAGTTTTCGAAGATAGCGTCTCTGTTCTAGCTTTAAAGAATTAGGTTCAAATCATATACATTAAAGACCCATCACAATTACCTTAAATAATGTGGCTGTTTCTGGGATTATTCCTCTAATTTTCACTTGGGGTTCTAAAGGCAATGGGATAAGTTCCACATCTGACAAGTTCATCTTTTCATTATCACCAAGCAAAGCCTGTAGTCTTTCATTCTGGGAGAACAAGTTAGAAAGAATTAGGTTAAAATGGAAAAGTGGTTTATAAAATACACGGTAAAGACGTAAAGACTGATTCTGTTAACTTTCAAATATTTGCAGAGCACCATAAAGGAATATGCAAAGTAACATAAAGGAGATAGTATATGTGAGAGACCAGCACTTACACTCCACCTGACAATAGCAGCAGAACAATTTAAAGGAGCAATCCCTTGACTATGAAAAGCTGGACTTGCTCAAGGTTAGGGAATACATTTCCCTTGCTGCAGCTGAGAACTGGAAATATTCTCAAGCTGGACTTTAAGACTCAATTTCTGTTTTCAAAGCTTTTGTGAAGCCACAAAAAGAAATTATAATTTCATTCGAAGCATAATTTTTCATGACCGAATACTCAGTGAGAATTGCATTATGCTGCTCCACGGTATGTTTTGGGTTTAAAAAGTAAACTCAATTCACTTGGAGGAACTTGGACCCTACCTTTTACTGTTCATTGACTCTGTCTGATCAAACTTTTCCTAAGATATCAACATTTTTTTTTCCTACAGCTGACATACATACTGCATTTCGCCACAACTTCAGAAACTGAGAAATTCAAGTCATGGTGAAAAGCTTCGTCATTTAGCAGCATCTACAGTGGGCCAAGGCCTTCTACTAAATTTCAAAAGAACAATCTATTCCCTCTGAAAGCTATGAAAGTTTTGCAGTCATTAAACAGGCGAGCTTGTTCTTAAAGGGAGAAAACTTGACTTGCCAATCCCAGCAGCACAAAGCCCTTCAACTGTAACGCTGCTGAGAAGAAGTATGCATCAAAGGAGAGAACTCTGGAATCAACGAGATGAAAGTTCAAAAAAATAATATGTTTCAAGGACCACAAAGATATCAAATTAAATTCCTTCCTTTCAGTAACACTCCAAATCTCCTTCTGAATGATGAAAAGTTCAAGTTAAGTTCAACTGAAAACCGGTATGAATTTCTACATGTCCCTTACAAAAATCAGTAAATCTACTCCCTAACCGAATGTATGATCAGATATACTAGTATGAAGTAATGTCAAGTAATCTGAATTTCAAGTTATCCTATCACAATAAATTTCTAGTTGATGTTCTAATAAATAATAAAATAAACAGAAAGCAGATAATAAGAGAAGGGTGAGAAATCGAGCCACTTCTCACCATCTCCACCACTGTAAGCCCGGGGGTCCAAGCCACCTTCATTTCTTATCTTGATTCTTGCAATAATCATTTCTCATCTTGATTCTTGCAATAGCCTCCTGACTGCCCCTCTTCTTCAACCTTTGCCTCTTATAGTCCTATCAAAAACAACCAGAGTGCTGCTGCTAAAATGAAAGTCATGTAACTCTTCCGTTCAAAACCTCCATTAGCTTCCACTCTTACTCACTGTTTAAATCAAAGTCCTTATAATGGCTTACAAGGATATACTCCATCTGTTTCCTTATTATCTCTGTCCCCATCTCCTACTACTTTCCGCCATACTCCTTCTGCTCCCAATACACTGGGCTTCTTCCTATTTCTCAAACATGTCACACATGCTCACACACCAGGGCCCTCGTACTTGCTGTTCCTCTGGCTGGAAGTCTTCTCTAGATATTCACATGATTTGCTCCCTCATCTGCTTCAGGTCTCTGTCCAAATGTCAACTTCTCAGTGAGGCTTTCCCTGACCATTCTATTGAGAAGTGAAACACTGCCTTACTACTCGAACCCAGCCCTTCCTATTCCCTATTCCCGTTGTTGAAGGAAGCCATCAAGAGGATGTGACCACCAGTTGACCAGAGAACTGGACCTGGGCAATCAGAGGCTCCTCACCCCTTCCCCTGTGTACTTGCAATGTATGCTCTCCCCACCATTCCCACAGCAGGAGCTGGTTTCAAAGAAGCAGCCTTTAGAGAGCAATGTACTGTTGAGACCATTTGGATGGTATACGTGACTGAACCGAGTTATGGCCTCTACATAAACTTTTAAGATTTGGTGGATGGGTGCAGAGATCTGCTTGTCTCGTGACCACCCAAGACAAGCCTCCTAAGTACATTCCCGTGATTATTAAAACTGCCACCTACCAATCTGGAGTGGCCTGCCTCTCTCTTTGGTCTCTCCTTCCCCTCAAAGTGTGGGGGCCAGTTTGTGAACCAACATCCCTTTCCTGCTTTATTTTTCTCCAGAGTACACAACACTATATCTAGTATACCATACATTTTACTTATTCATTTTGTTTACTTTCTCCTCCAACAGGAATATAAGCTTCACAAGGGTAGGAATTTTCATATTCATTGTTGTATTCGCAGAACCTAGAAAAGTTCTTGGCACACAATAGGCATGCAATAGATTTTTAAAGAACAAATAAATGAATAATATGACCTAAAGAATCACAAAATGAAAAGAGACTCAACATGCAAAATGAAAGCTTTACTTTTTTAAAAATGTCGATGAAAAACACATTTTTATTAGAACTCAAATATCTAAACCCAGAGATCTCTTCTAAGAGAATTTTTCCTAAACTAGAGGTCGACAAGAGAAAGAAGATAGCAACAATATTATCATTTGGTTTAACCATCTGACATGTAACTCACTGATTACCTTGCCACCTACCTAACACTGTGTACTCACCAATGTCTCTCCCAACTTCCTTATGGGGGATGGAAAAGTGCTACATACAATTTTAAATAATTAGCAGTAGTCATTTCATTACTACTAGTAGTAAGACAAATAATGATAGAAGAGAGCCATCTCGGCATTTCTCCATGGTGCCGGGGCTTGTTTCTAGTAAATCTATGTAAATAACATCATTTGTCTTTTACCATATCATAACAAATTGTCTAAAAAGATTTTTAGCCAATGTTGAGACTATATTTGGGATTGTCTGACTTAACATATCTGCTCTATGGCAAAAACAACATTTATTGTGGGGGGGGCTCTAAGTGATGCTTCAGATAGACAGTCATTCTCCAGAAGAGCTAAAGCTGAGGTGTAGCCAGAGGCTTGCATGTGTGGTGAAGAGAAGAGCATGTCACGTAAGAAGAAACTGCCCTCTAAGTGTATGCCCCAAACTGACAGTCACAGGAACACACACTCCCTCTGCTAGTGGGCATTTGGGATCACACTGCTTCTCACACAGGCCCCTCTGGGGAGATGGGCTCCACGAGGAACGGCACTAGGGATTTAGTTATTTAACCACGGTTTGTGATTCTTCCCAACAACAGAGAAAGCTCCAACTCAATGAAAATATGTTTCCCTTCAGCCTATTTTCTCCTCCCTAACCTTGCAAATATCATTCCTTGCACACATCTCTGCTAGCAGTTCTCTTTAGACTGATCCCCTGCCTCTGAACTCCTGAATCCATTTTTCACCGTCTCCTCTCTCCACTTTCCTCTCCCAAGTTTGTAGAACAACAGTCAAATGTGTTGTGCTGTTTTACAAATGTCGATAAGAACGATCTGCCTATGACGGGATTAGGTAAAGAGAAGATAGCAAGTAAATCCTTCATATCCTTCAGGCTACGGATCAGGAAAAATGACATGAAGAACAGATAGGTACTCATCTGTTCTCATCAAGCAGAGGCCTCACTGTTGAGAGAAAGGTCAATGTACTAGCCATTAGAACAGATACAAAGCCCGTGTTGTTACTAAACTTGTTCTGCAACCTTGGACAAGTCACTCTAGACCTTTATTTTCTCATAAGAATTCTAGTCCAAATGATCTCTAGAGGTCCTTTCCATGTCAAATAGACTATATTCTAGGATGCTAAGATTCTAAAATAGGAGTCAATAAAGCATTATAGATAAAAATACGGACCCAGAATGCCTGGGTACCATTCCCAATCCCAACACTTACTAGCTGAGGACACTGGACAAATTCCTTAACCTTCTATCCCTACTTTTCCTTACAATTGGTATAATAATAGGACCTAACTTATAGGGTTATTATGAAGATTAAATCACTATATGTAAACTCAAAAAACAGGATCTCGCACATAATCAGTACTTTTAAGTGTTCTTATTACTATAATTACGTGATAAGAATTTCATAAAATATATCAGCCCAAAGAGACAGTACTAAAACTCAGGATCTTATGATAGCAAGGCATTATTACTCATAAACAGAAAGCAAAGCACATAGGTTTACCTTTTTCTTACGATTTCCGCTTTCACGCTGCACTGCCTTCATTAGATGTACCAGCCGATCTACAAATGTCTGTTGGGCAGCCAGCAAAGAACGCATAACTCTGACAGACTTATCACCCTGAAGGGATTCAAGGAAAGGAAAATTAGTTCTATGTAGCATAATGATCAGGGTTTCTTTAATAGCATGGGTGATCTTTATTCCTCTAATAACTGCAAACTTCAATACAAAGTGAAATTGAAAAAGATTAATTATCTTGATTCAGAGATAATGAGAAACCTGCTAACTTAGTTCAACGCCACCAACTCTTCCACAGTTGAAAATTATCTGGGCCTTCAGCGAATGCTATAGTCTATCAAAAATAGCACTTTTTTTCACATACAATCACGTGATAAGATAGAATTCACTCATCCAAAATGCATTCACTCATTGATTTAGTAACTATCTGGAAGCCTATGATGTCTTCATAAATGTGCTGGGCATATGGCAGAAACAATATTACCTTCAAGAAACTAAAAATCTACTTAAAAGAAAGGGAAAGTACTCAAATAGCAACATAATACATGCTTGCTTAGTAAAATATAAGTCATAAAAACTAAATGCCTTTTATAAAGTCTTATGTAGTGAATGTTCCTATTCATAAAACATTGTAAAATACATCTTCTCATTTCATCTTCCCAATTATGCAAAGGGCAGCTGGGCAAATATTATCATCCTCATTTCGAAGATGAGGAAATTTAAGCTCAGAGAAACTGAAATTTCTTCACAGGATGACAAAGGCTGTCAGTGATAGAACTGAGATCAGAAGAGAGGACCAACTGCTTATTTGCCAATCGGTTTGATGTAGAGAAGCTCTGAGCTCTGAGAACTACATAAAAGTTTAGTCTCAAAGAGTTCAATAAGATGTGATTTAAATTTTTAAGAACACGGAACATGAAACAGCAGATAAAAGATGCTATGAAGTAAAATATTTCTGTAGCAAATCACAGATTAATGTTGTGAGTTTTCTTTTCATTACCCGTGCATCCTCTGCTGGCTGAACTGTGACACTGCTTTAAGAATCACAAGAACACCAGGGGGAAAACGGCTTTACATATCTCTAGAAACTGTTTAAGAAGCAAAAATGTAAGTTATATAGGAAGAATTTGCAATATGACCATTATCTACAATATGACCATTGCCAGAATTCTGGAAAGGTACCTCCTAGTTTTGATAAGAAAAATAGAAAACAGAGAGGGAAATGAAAAAGCAAAGCTTTGGTTTTTTTGTTTCATGTATAGGTTTATTTCATTAAATCAGGGGTCAACAAACTTTTTATAAAGGGCCCAGAATAAATACTTTAGGCCTTATTGGCCATACTGCTTTCATTCCAACTATTCAGCTCCTATTATAGTGCAAAAAAGGCCATAAGCAATATAAAAACAAATGAGTATGACTATGTTTCAATAAAATTATGAAAACTGAAATTTGAATTTCACATATCACAAAATATTATTCTTCGATTTTTTTCAACTATTTAAAAATATAAAAGCCATTCTTAGCTCATAGGACATACCAAAACAGGCAATAGACCAGATTTGGCCCATGCACTGTGCTTGCCAACCTCCCTAATGGTTACCTTCAGTAATGCTTGGCTGAACCGTCTCATTACATTCAAGTACATCTCATGGGTCTTTGGATCTCTCTGCTGAGTATCCTGATCTTCACATTCCACTATCACATACCTAAAAAATATGTTAAGTCATATGAATGTGAAATGAAACTCAGATTCATATTGTAAACATACTTTTCCATTAAAACAGATTAATTCACATTTGCAAAAATAATTAAATGGAAGTAATGAAACACATTTTATCATCATTTATTTTGTAATAATAATTTTGTAATTTTACAATATCATATATTTATCATTTTAAAGTGGAAAACTAAGGAACAACATATACAACCATCTATAAAAGGTAAATTGATAATAGTAATGCCTTAATTTGTACAGTATCCTAGATTTTCTAAAAATTTTGGCATCAGAACAAGCATTTTCTCCTAATACTTTATGAGGTACATAGACCATTAACATCCTCAGAAATCATCTAAGCTCATGCATCTACCAAGTAACTCCAGAACAACATGTTCATAATCTATGTAATACAATACTTTTAATATTAAATAATGCTCTCATTCTGAAAACCACTCTGAAGCTACTTCTCTCAGTAACATACTTCTGAAAGATGAATAAAATTTTAAATTGATTTTTCCTTTCCCATCCAATTTCCCCATTTCTTAAATATTCATATATAATCTTCAATTTTTCTATCATAAAACTGTGGTTTTAGAGAGTTCAAGAAATTTTAAATGTTTTCTTAAACCTAAACCATTTATACAATTACAAAATCATATAAGCAATGATCTGGATTAGATCTTAAAGGTCATCTAATCCAGTGTTTCTAACTTTTCTGATGGGAACAAGCCATAATAACAAACAGGTTTTATATCACAACTTGGTACACAGCCACATCTGTGCACACAAATGCTTAAAACTGAAAACAAGTTTCACGTAGCAATATTCCATGAACAATATGTTAATATTTGCTATTCTGTTCTATTTCATTTTTATTTAGATAATAAATACTAGATTGTGAACTTTTAAATTGATTTCAATGGATCATGAGGTGTAGTTTAAAAAACACAGATCTAGAGCAACCTGCTTGTTTAACGGTTGTGTCTCGCCCATGGTGGCACAATTAGTTGCTGGTAGAGCTGAGATAAGAATCCAGGATTTTGGGCTCCTAGGCCAGAATTCTTTCTATTCTACTAAGCTTACTCTCACACTGTTTTATTTTTAAAAACCACATGAAACTTTTCAACCTCCTTAACTGATAGTGTTTCACAAATTTCAAGTCACAACCACTTATTTGCCTTCACACACCTTAACAATTTCTTCCTTCTCTGACTTTCTAGAACAGGCATAGCCTCTCACACAACTTGTGTCGATAACATTACCTTGCTTGTCACTGTTTCACCTGTTAAACTCCTAGCTCCCTTCATAGGTTATAAAGAAACTGATGCCAGATGCCATACCTTAAAAATTTTCAGTAGGCCCTGACATACCCCATATAGTCTTATACACAGAAATATTTTAAAAGATGATAAAAGTAAAAGCCTTCCTCTCCCAACTTCCCAGTGCAACACTTTACCATAATAACAACAGGTGTTCTAGACATTCCCAGAGTTCTATAACCTAGAATTTTCCGTGAAGTGGTATGAGGAACTGAACCATGACACTATATCCACCATATCATGTTCACAATAAGAGTTCTAAACCAAAAATTCAAGAAAGTATTCTTGAATCTTGAATCAAAAAAGCCTTCTAGAGCCACAAGACACATATGACTATTTAAAATAAAATTAATTAAAATTAAAAATTCAGTTTCTCAGTCACATTATCCACATTTCAAGTGCTCAGTAGCCATGTGTACAGGATTGTAGATTATTTCCATCACCGCAGGAAGTTTCATTGGACAGCTCTGTCCTAGATGAATAAGCTAAGAACAGTTAAGATAAACTCCTATTTCCTATTCATGGCATTCCAGGATATTTGGTCATTTCAGGACACCACCTAAGAATGTCAAACAGACAGCGATTCTAAACTATAAAACTGTCAATACAGTCCTATTCAAATCTAATCCATATCCTTCTACCCTTTAAAGTCCTTGACTGTCTCCATCACCTTAGCATATCCATTGTCTTTTCCTGTGTGTTTACGTAGCAAACTCATTTCCAAATGAGCAATACAGATGACCACAATATATAGGCTCCACTGCTCTCTTCCGGTCTCCCTGACCACCAAGTAAACACAATGGCCCAGCCATTTCCTGTGATTGAGGGTATATGTTGATGCTCATGATAAAGGTCAAGTATCAAACACCTCTCAAAATCATTCAAGCCGAAGTTCTGCTGCAAAGAGAAAGTCCATCTAAAATAAAAATGACAGCGTCATCTCTAAATGTGAAGAACAAATTTAGAGCAAGACTGGAACACCTAGATCTGAATCATTTCTGAATTCTTTGTTCACAGCAGTAAGCTAGATTCAACAAAGCACTCTAAGGTATTCCCTTGCAACCTGTCATCTTCAAGTAGAAATGCAGACAAACTTGCCCAGGTACCCATTGTAAGATGACATCAGTGGGCTACCTGTTTCCCGGCAATTTCATTTTGTGGGTAAATAACCTTTATTACCTTGAAAGGTCTTAAAAGTTATAGTAAAACATGGCAAAGCACCAAAGTTTACTTTCAATTTCAACATACTGGAATAGCTATAAAAATAAAAAACTGGAATGATTTATAGATCCTGATGCCCAACACTTTACAGATTGAGACTATAACTCCCCGCTGTGGCTTAAAAGGTTGACACTACTCATTTTAAAAGGATTCTCTGCACAACTATAGGCCCCCAAGGATTAGGCTATAGCAGGAATCCCGTTTAAATCACTGGAAAGGGAACAAATGAAAAAGGAAATTCAAAATGTTGAAAAGGAAATAGCACAATTAAAATTTATATTGTAATATATTTGTTATAATAGAGTAAGCTTAACAGTGACAGGCATTTAAATTGTTACACTTGATTAATATTTTTATACTATTCAGTCCATGTTCACAGGAAGAGAATGATCATTTTAAACCAATTATTTGAAATTATTACCCACATTTGCACCCTACAATCACAAAAGCAGTGTCTACCAAAGTCAGAAGTCCACATCAATAGCTTGTTTGCCCCATGAGTATTTGTGAATATGTAATACGTAAACTGTAAATATGGGAAAAACAATTACCTCTCAGAGAATGAACATACACACTATAGCTTCAGTGAATCACAGATATAGTGGAAAAACACAAATCAAATCTAAATTTGATGGAATGCTTATAAGATTGGGAGCTGGGGTTGCACTTCGTTTATTATCTATGGAGAAAACAAAGTGCTCTTTCTGAACAGACACTGTTACCTTGTTGGAAATTGCTCACCTAATAGGTTTCCTACTGTTCAGCTGCTTTCAGCATGGTTTAAAAACTCTTCCTACTTGAAATAAGAGATCAAAGATTCTATCATAACTAATTCAGATTTTACAATGCAATCTGGTAGTCAAAAAACATACGTAATTTTAAAACACCACATAATCAATATATGTACACACGGCTCTTATAATATTGACTACTCTAGACTATAAATTCTGAGCCAGAGAAAACTTTCCATGAACATTGCAATGAAATAAAAGTACCTATAAAGTAATTCTTAGTATATGATTTAAAAATATATGAAATCTTAATTTTAAAATACCTAAGAAGCTTATAAGTACTTGCTCAAAAACTCAGCAACATGCCCCATATATTTTTTTCTTTATTTCTTTTTAAATATTTACTTAGATTTTCATGAGGAAATATTTTTCCATACCACCAGTGAATAGACATACACTTAAGAATTCAGATTTGAATATGTAGAACATTAGGAAGCAAGAGGTTACATTAAAAGGAAATAGCTATTTGGCAATATGAGAATTTCCAAGCAAAATTTTCAAAGTAAAAATGGTGATTAACAACTAGCCAAAAAATTTTGTGGGTATATTTTCAAAGACACACTGAAATTTAATGTGAGGGAAATGTAGTTTTATGAATATTATAGTAAACTGCTAAAGTAAAAGCAAGGAACTACTTTTCTTCCCACCACTAAGGCTAACAGGGAAAACAAATCACAGGTTTCAAAGGGGAAGAAAAAAATGACACTTAGTTAAGATTGTTGATAGCGGTTTCTCTTCATTGTAAAGAAAAGCGTAAAGACTAAAACTAAACAATTATTTATTGTTTATGTAAGTAATGAACACCTGTGTTTGTTAAAAGAGCCCTCTGATTTTGTGTCCTATTTCTTGGCTACAGGGGCAGTATCTAGAACAACATTATGTTGGAGAGTGGCAGAATGAAGGTAAGGTTTGATTTGACCTACAGGACAGTTTCTCTAAACTCAGTGTAAAACAAGGTAATCTTTTGTTGAATTTCTTCATGGAAAGCCACAGTATTCTTCGAAAATAATGAGCTTTCAGAATGGACATCTATTAATTTGTACTGTTTAAGTAAACACAGTAAATTGAGCCGTAAGATTAGATCAAAGATCATTTCTCCCATTAAAAAATATGAGTACGTCAAGAAGTTTAACATGTTCTGTCAAACATATAGAAGACTTTAGGGAGGGTTTACCCAGCTGGCTCTGTCCTTTGTTTGCTCTGTAAAACTGCAGAAGGCTCTCTTGTCTAGTGTTTAATCCTAGTGCTTTCTTTACTGAACCAAAATATTTCTCGTTATGGCTTAAGCTACTCATCCTTTACACTCGAGAATTCTATGACAGATAAAGGGAGCCATGCTTCATATTGTGTCTCAGGAAGTCAGATAGCTTCTCTGTGCCTTAGTTTCTCTCTTTCTTTCCTTCAACTCACTCAGAAAACCTGTTCTCACGTAAAACAGAAATATTTATACTTGCCCTGTTTAACTTCACAGGGACAAATGAGAAAAGGTCACTGAAAGCACTCTGTAAATAGCAAAGTGCAAGATAAATGATCTAATCCTAGTTCAGGTTTTACCAAGTTCAGTTATATCATGCCTCTGCCTTAGTTTCCTCATCTATGAGATAAATAACTTCAAATTCCAACTTTCTATTTTTGTATAATTCATATGTTTTGGTAAATACTATGAAAATACACATTCCTGAAGGAGTGTGACATATCATATTTACACTACTTAAATAGCATAAAAGCAAACAGATATCAAACTGAAAAAACCCATGACCTTACCCAGTTTTATCTTAGATCCAGGAAAGAGACTGAAACAGAAACAGTGGTGCAAATAAGCATTTTCATTAGAACAGTTGTAAAGGAATACAGCTAGATATAAATACTGCATTGAGGCTTTTGATGACTGATCAGACCTTATTTTAAACTGCCTTTGTGTTTACAGTGTGGGAAAAAAAAATAGTCCTAAAGAGTGACAAGAAAATAAACAAAATTATTTCACATACCAGTATAAATAATTAGCCAGAGTTGAGTTTTTGCAGGCTCTTGATATCAAGAAGGTACAGAGATCTTGCTGAAAGAATTAAAAGACATGTATATACATTATATTACCATCTGTTAATAACAAGGGGGAAATAAGAGAGTCTACATTTGCCTATGAGTTTTCATCTATATAACTTCTGTCACAGATCAGATTTTCATGCATCTGTCAATCCTTCCATCTCTTCATCCAATATTTATTCTAAACCAGGCAGCATATGAGAGGCTAAGGACACCATGGTTCCCAGATTTCCTTGTCCTACTGTAAGCTTAACATTTAGTAGAGGAGAGAGACAGTCAAGAAAGAGTTATAGAAATAATTTAGCTTGGGAGGTCAGAAAAGGCCGCAATGAGGATGTGATATTTAGGCAAGACCAAAATGACACTACGTATAAAGGCCATGAACTTGACTGTTTAAGGAATTTTAAAAAGGCCCAATGTAGCTAAAGTATAGTGAACACTAAAGTAAAGGAGGCTGAAAAGGTAGGCAAAGGTCAAACTGTGCAAGACCTTTAAGTCACAATATTGAGTATGGATTTTATTTTTAAAGCAAAGGATATTTAAAAGTCTTAAGCAGGAGAGTGAGATGATTTGATTTACATTTTATGAAAATGACTCCAGTTTCTCTGAAAAGTATAGACCTGAGATCAGTTAAGATGCTATTAAAATAGTCTAGAAGAGTGAACGGTGAGAGTAGAAATGGAGAGAAGTGTAGAGATTCTAAAACTACTTTGGAAGAATTAATAGGACTTACTGAGGGAGAGGAAGTAGGAATGAAAAAAAATTGACAGTAACTCCCAAATTTATGGATTTAACAAATGGGTTGATTTGTTACTTTACAGATGGAAATTCCAAGTGAGGCTAGTGTGGAGAGAGAGAGTTGTATTTTGAAATATTAAATTTGAAATGCCTGTCAGATATACAATGGAGATTAAGTAGGTATTTGGATATATGAATCTAAAACTCAGATGAGAGAAATGCACTAGAAATATAAATTTGAGTTTATCAGTACAGCCTAGGGCAAGAGTATAAATTGAGAACAGAAGAGGACCCTGAGGAACATTAAGATGTCAAGCAGCAGAGAAAGTGCTGATGAAGGAAACTGAGAAGGAATAGCCAGAGAGGTGAAGAGAAAACAAGGGAGGTATGGGATCATCTAAACCATGAGAAGAGTTAGTTTTTCAAGAAGGGAGTCATTTACTTTGCTGAATGCTGCTGAGAGGAACTGAAAAGTAAGTGCAACCACACATTAAAGTCATCAGTATTACTACTTTAGCAAAGTAAGTTTTAATATAATGATGGGAAGCAAAGCCAGAATGATGTGGATTAAAGACTGGAAAGAAAGGAAAGAGGGCATCAGAATGTACAAACAACTCCTTAGAGAAGCTTGATCATGAAGAGAAGTGAGAAAATATGGTGCTATTTGAAGGGATGTGGTGTCAAGGGAGAGTTTTTGTTTTGTCTTGTCTTTTTCATTTTTGAATTTTTAAGATGGGAGATACTAACACATACTTAAATATTTCTACCAGGAAAAGAAGAGATCATATCTTTGATGGGAGTTATATTTCCTCTGTGTAAGAAAACAGAAAGGGCCGGCCCCGTGGCTTAGCAGTTAAGTGCGCGCGCTCCGCTGCTGGCGGCCCGGGTTCAGATCCCAGCCGCGCACCGACGCACTGCTTGTCCGGCCATGCTGAGGCCGCGTCCCACATACAGCATCTAGAAGGATGTGCAGCTATGACATACAACTATCTACTGGGGCTTTGGGGGAAAAAAATAAAATAAATTAAAAAAAAATTTGAAAAGAAAACAGAAAGAAAGGAAGGGAAGGGATTCATGTCTGTAAACCAGCTGATGGGAAACTGAGACCATTCTTACCTAGGGGCTTCTATTTGTTTCCATTAAGTATGGGGTACATCTGTCACTTGATGATTGGGAGGCAGGGCATGAAGAACAGAGAAGAAAAGGTATGAGAGTCACTGCAGAGCAGGGAGAACAACCCACCTAGAGAAATGTAAGATGGCAGACGGTGCTGAGTGCCCAGCTGATGTGTGTGATCATGAATTTATAATGATACCAATAGGCTAGGCCATGTGCTTTTCTTCTGCAATATTCAGGCACAGAGAAATCAGGTAATTAATTAGGCTTATCAAGGGGTGAGATTTTGCCAGGAGAACTGAAGGTACTAATAAAAGAATGATTAAAATTATGAGCCTTGGGATAAAAGCTATATTCAGAGAAAACTAAATATTGAAGGGGGCCGATGAACAAATAAAAGGGTAGAGATCAATGGATTTGAAGTTTCAATGCAAAAGGGGCATTTAAGAAAGTAAGCTAGAGTAATACAAGACTGTTACCACATAGCAGATACCTCACTGCTTTCAGAGGTGGCAAGAATCTTATCTGCAATTCTAGAGCTAAAATTTTAGCACTACATTTTAAATGTGCAACATTTAAAAACCCAATAAGGAAACTCCTCAATCAGAAAGCCATAATGTAATGCCAAATGCCAAACGTAATGTTAAATAAGTTTAACAGGTAGAATCTAGGCCTAAAGCTTATCTTTGACTATATGAGGACAGTATACTTTTACATACTAAAGTATATATTTAAATAGAAAACGCATGTGTTTCATTTGACACTATGCTTTCATTAAAAAATTATTTACAGAGCATAAATAGGGAAGAATTAAATTTAAGGTTTTTTGTTTTTGTGAGGAAGATCAGCCCTGAGCTAACATCCATGCTAATCCTCCTCTTTTTGCTGAGGAAGATCGGCTCTGAACTAACATCTATTGCCAATCCTCCTCCTTTTTTTTCCCCAAAGCCCCAGTAGATAGGTGTATGTCACAGTTGCACATCCTTCTAATTGCTGTATGTGGGACGCGGCGTCAGCATGGCCAGAGAAGCGGTGCGTCAGTGCGCGTCCAGGATCCGCACCCAGGCCGCCAGCAGCAGAGCGCACGCACCCAACCGCTAAGCCACGGAGCTGGCCCAGGAAGAATTAAATTTAAAAACACTTGTGAAACAGGTGACACATCCTATAAATTTTTACACTCAGTTTGTATAAGCAATATTTTAAAATTTAAAAACAATTAGAAGAGAAAAATGTGCTTTAGGCAAAAAGAAAATGATCTCATACTGAAGGTCAGAGGTAGAAGAAGAAATGGTGAATAGGGAAACAGAAACCTAAGTACCTTTAAAGAGTTACTGATTGTATACAATAATATTTTCTAATTTGGGGGTTAAACAAGACAGAACTAAATCACTGGATAAAAATTACATACAAGAAGTATACTTGTTTTGGAGGAGGGTAATATTGATTATGCTAGACAAAGTTAAGGAAAGATGTTAAAGTATTTAGTATAACCATTGAAAGAACTGATATGGACAATATAACCTCCAAGCCGGGGGTGGAGATAGAGGATGGGGAGGGGGATCCAGCCAAATACAGGCAAGGAACAAAAAAAAAAAGACAAGAAAAAAATAAGAAAGAATAGAAAGTACCACATAAGATGGTGAAATAAATCCAAATATAGCTCTGATCACAATAAAAACAAATGGGGTAGGGCCGGCCCTGTGGCTTGGTGGTTAAGTGCGCGCGCTGCAATGCTGGCGGCCCGGGTTCGGATCCCGGGTGCGCATCGAGGCACCACTTCTCCGTCCATCCTGAGGCCGAGTCCCACATACAGCAACTAGAAAGATGTGCAGCTATGACATGCAACTATCTGCTGGGGCTTTGGGGGGAAAAAATAAAATAAAATAAAATCTTTAAAAAAAAAAAAAAAAACAAATGGGGTAAAAGTTCCAGTTAAAAGACAGAGTGCTAAACTGGATTAAAAAACAAAATCTAGCTATATGTTATCTTCAAGAGATAAACCTAAAATAAAAGGCTACAAAAATATTGAAAGGAAAGGACTGAAAGCTACACTAGTGCATACTAATCAAGACAAAGCTCTATTAATCAGACAAAATAGACTTTAAGGCAAAAACATGATTAGATATAAAGACGGTTACTAAACAGTGATAAAAGATTCAATTTACATGAATACACCTAATAAAAGAGCTTCAAAATATTTCAAGCAAACATCAACAGAAATACAAGAAGAAATTGATAATTCCATCAGTATACAGGGGGAATTCTACCCTAATTCTGTCACAGATCCAGCATCAGGCAAGGGTACATAAGATTTCAACAACACAATTAATAAGCTTGCTCTAGTGACACATGTACAATGCTGTACCCAATAACTGGGGAATATACCTTCTTTTCAAGAACCCATGGAACTCATGAAAAATGACCACATTTGGGCAATGAGATTAACTGAGTTTCTATCTTCTTTCTAACATTTGGCCAGGCATAAATGGTGGTTTCCTAAAACTCTAAGAAAAACACGGAAAGGAAAGAGGAAGAAAACAAGACACTCCTTAGGTGTCAGGGAAGAGATAGGATGTTGCTATCTCAAGCAGTGATAAGAAGAGAGGGAATTCAGCATGGTTGGATCTCAGCTTGACATTCCTAGACATTTAATTGTTTAGGGATATCCTAAGGGTAATGACTGCTTGCACAGTATTATTACTCTACGGGGGGCAAAGGAAGGGGAGGAAACATCACTCAAGATGATTCCCACTGGTTTCTGGGATAGCCTGGATTACCTGAACCCTTTAAAGAACTATTCAGCTGAGAAAAGGTAAAATAGCATAATCATTGAGTAACAACAGATGGGTTCATCAGTCACAAGAGAAATAACAGAAATATATAAATAACAGAAATAACAGAAATATTTTTAGCCTAAAGTTTTGAGTGATATGTAGTGCGTAAAACTATATTCCGAACATAACTTTGAGAATCTAATCACTTCACACAATATTCAACGTAAACTACCCTGGCTCAAGCCTCCTACATGGATTATTTCAATAGCTTCCAAGCAAAAGTTATTCAATATCATGACCTACAAGGCCCTACAAGACTGATCTTCTGCTCTCTCTCTGACCTAATCTTCCACCATGCTTTCTTTTGCTCACTCCCCAGCCAGGAATAATAGCCTCTGTTGTTCCCCAAAAAACACACCTAAGCTCTGGTCTTAGGGTCTCTATATCTGCTGTTCCTTCTGCCCGAAATGCTCTTCCTCCAAATCACTATATGGTTGTTCCCTCACTTGCTTCATCTTTACAAAGATGCCACTTTTCCAGGAGGGCCTTCCTTGACCAATCTTTTCAAAATTGCAACCACCTAATCCTACCCCAACACTCCCTATCATCCTTCTCTAATTCAGTTTTCTCCACAGAAAATAGAGATCTTTATCTCTTCTACTATACATAAATATTACTATCACCCACCCAAAAACTAGAACGTAAGCTCCAGGAACACTAAGATTTTGACTGTTTTGTTCTCGGCTACATCATCCCCAGCATCTAGAATAGCTTTTGGTATACAATAAAAGCTCAAAAAATATGTGTGAATGAATGAATTACTGAATCAATAAATCAGTATCTTAACTTTGAAAGGGTAAAATAATTCAACTGGAGCTGAATGGTTCCTTAAAAGGCTCCCCTAAGGATTCTATGATCCTGTAATTTAAAATCTTTTTTCATTATTTTCTATTATGTTAAGAGGTAGGCAAGCATTCAAACTTTGGCTAACAGTCAATAGTGAAAACAAAAGTCATTCAGTCATCAACATTAACTCCTAAAATTTGACTAAAAGCAATATATATACAACATTAGAAAAATCAACTGAACTTTCTAATATCAAAGCATGTATTACAAGCTTTCGACATCAGGGGTGTGAAAGATTCTTCGCAAATTAGAAGTCTTGGGGAGAAATTCAACAATACATACTAGATCAGCTTCTGCAATACACTTCCAAACGTATTTTTCAGAGCAGCACTAGCCAAACAGGCCTGTTTTACCTTAAAAATTAGTCTACTTATCTAACAGGACTTGACAATTTTTCAGTAAGAGTTAAAAACAGCTGCTTAGTGTATTATCCCTAGCATCAAAGTCATATATTTCTACAATGTAATCACACCGACAATTACAGTAAGGTTCATAAATACGTTAACAATAAATATTCCCATTCCCTTAATAAAATATTTAAGCCCAGTTTATTTTCACATTGCATATGAATCCATTTATATGCCCAAAGCACCAATAAAATGCGTTGAATTGAGGATAATCTGGCACTTTTTGCTGAGAGGAAAAGTCATAAACATGCATCATAAAACAAGTTATTTAATAAAGTTGTAATATTTAGTTTATTAATCAAAATCAACGTTTAAAAGACCAACATAAAATGTTTATCTGCTGAGATCTCTCCTACAGGAAACTTGAAAAGCTTTGTACTCACCTCCAGATTTTCACCATCTGAACCTTCTTTTGTTTTAGAGGCAGGAGGAGGGGAAGACACTGGAGGAAGGGGACTGGTTATAATTTGGGAGCTGAAAAGATAATAGTAAGTATCACTAATATGTAAAATATTCTGTCTATAAGAGAAGATACACATTTTTTTTAGCATAGATGGTCCCAATTGTGTCTGGTTAAAGCATCACTTCCTAAAGTGTGTTCTGTGCACACCAGAGTCACATTATGTTCTGGAAAAAGAGGCTCCATAATCAAAGAAAATGGGTAATAGCCTCTTGGAGATTTTTCAGTGCGAGTTTGCATATTAAAGGTTTTGATAAATACTGTAGGTGAAAAAAAAAAGCCCATTTCGCTTTAAACCCAAATATATTTGGCCACAAGACCACGCTCACCTCTTTGTTATCTTTTTAAAAAAACACACAAAAATTAGTGACCAGCAGACCATAATTTGAGAAACATTGGGTTACAGTATACATCCTGTCATGAAATCTTAGACTTCTAATAAAACATTCTAGGTGACATAAGCAAGAAGGAAGGTAAATAAGCATTATTAGAGACTGAAGGCCTCCGGTGTACAGTGGGAGAAAATGCAAGGGGTCTCTTCTCTTAAAAATAGAAAAATATAAAGCAGCCTAGGGAAGAAACAGTGGTTTTTCCTGTTTTTCAGTTCTTCTCCAAATGAAACACTGAAGACAAAAAACAGCATTATCATAATCATAAAACAAAATCCAGAAATATATCTTGAGCTCACTGATAACTGAAATAATTGGACTGATTCAGGAAATCTGAATTCTAGACCTCATTCTGTCATTAACAAATCTCATGACCTTCACAAAACAATTTTATAATCACTGAACCTCAGATTTCTTACCCAAAGGTTCCTATTTATCCCAATTTTAAGATTTTATGAAAAGCAAAATGGCAAAGTAGAAAAACATGGGCTTTGGAATCAACTCTACCATTTGCAAGATACAAGACTTTTGGCAATTTACTTAACTTCTTGTTAAGTCCTTTATCTCTAAACTAGGGATATGAATACCCGTCTCAGAGGATTACTGTAATGAGTTAATGTATGTGGACCACCTCACAATGTCGGCTACAGAGGTGGGAGTTCTTAATTGCTATGATTGTTAACAGCTGACTTTTAACTCAAGTAAGATGCTATTTTTTTTAGTATAACTACTAAAGAGGTGAAAAGCAGCCAATAAAAATACAACTTTATAATAAAATATTTGAGCCCACTAACACGCCCTGTCCTTCATTGTATTTCTGCATCCACAGTAATAGTATCTAACACTTAACTAAGCACTATGTGTCAGACGCTTTTCTAAATGCTTTACGTGTATTAACTCATTTGATCTTTCAACAACCCTTAAATATCAGTTACTATTGCTGTACCCCCATTTTTAAAATGAGAAACTGGGGCCACACAGAGAGTATGTAACTCACACAGAGTCAGGATTTTAACTCAAGTATTCTAATAGCCTGCAAAACGCTGCCCTGTAAGATAGTAATTTGTGTTCTGTGAGTGCACCTGCCTTATTCAGTGGTAAAACTTCAAAGTACCAACTAGGGTTTGGTACATCTGGGAAAAAAGGAAAGGAAGAAGTTTGAAAGTGGGAGAAACTATCAGATTTGAAAGTAAGTCCTCCCTGGATATCCATACCTTTCTATTTCTGCAGAATTTATTCCAGAATTTGACACACTCTCTGACACTGAACCCTGACTATCCTTCTTGGTAGGTTCTAATCCATTCTTTATGTCATCAAAGTTTTCATATTTGAGAGCCTGGACCAGCTGTAATAGGTACATCAACAAATCCTGGAAAATAAACAAAAAATAAGCCAATATTAGAAAAACATGCAATATAATTATACACATAATTTATTCCTAAATACCAAGCTAACAATTTACTTTTATCTACCACTCATCAGCTGTGTTACCTTTGGCAGGTTACTAGGTTACTTAACCTGCTGGTACCTCATGGGGTCCTCATCTGTAAAATGGACATAATCATATAAACCTTAGAGATGAGTCATGAGGATTAAATCAGCTAACAAAAGCAAGTCACAGAATAGTGCCTGGCACAGAGTAGGTCGCCAGTAAATGTAGTACCCAAAAGCAAAGCAAAAAACAAAAACAAAAAAAAGGCTCAAGATGGTTCATATAAAAGTAAGAAACTGGGGGAGGATCCTTTTTTCAACAATAGATCAGATATCAGCATTTTATATCTAAGATTACATAAGAAACTCCAAATTTTCAAGTTTTCAAAGAATTTCTGTTTTATAACTTTTTCTGGTTAGGATTTTTAAAAATCTTGTGTTCTTTTTTGTTGTTGTCATTGAAAGCTCAGGTTTTAGAGAATTTGGGTTGCTTCTTAAATAGAAAATCCTATAAAACAAACATTTTAATTTTAATACTCTTGGTTAAGTGAAATGCTTACTTTCCTGCCAACTACCAATAATGGCTTGAAGAAAACAAATTCCTAAGCCTAAATTTCCCCTAGTTCTATTGACATTTAATGGGATAATTAGGACTTAAAAAGTGTTTGAACAAAGTACCTTTAACATTTTGAGTTTTCCCTTAACGTAAAAGGATCTTTAGGTTTAATGTTTAGGAGGAAACGTTTCCCGTCTTACTCTGTAAATGTAGTTCTTAACCCTTCCCAACGACTATTAAAAACACTCCAAAAATTTTACTTTTAAAAATAATTACAAACTGAAGAAACTCACAAAACTCAAAAATATTAAAAAAGTATCTATTATTTTCCAATTCTAATTGCCGATCACCTAGTTAGTCCCTCAAAACTCATAATTAGCTCATTCTGAGACTTCTTCGCATCTACCGATTCAATTCAGTCTCTCTCCTCATTAAGCCCACAAACCAGATTAAATCCCCGGTAAAAATTTCATGGCCCACCCTTTCCTTTCTTATTTGTAACACCTATAGCATTTGTAATTACTTGCATATTTACTCTATGTCTTTTCCACTATATTATAAACTCCATGAGGACAGAGACTACAACAACCTATTTTCCCTTAGCTAATACCATAATATATTTTCTTCATAATTTTTTTCTTACAATGACATAGTCAATATTTTTGTCATTATCCAAATACTGACAGAGTAATTAATACAAATGATTTCACCAATAAATATGATTTTTTCACAAAAAAATTAAATGAAAGGTTAACTGGTTTACTCTTATTCAAATATGTCAATGTCAGTGACCAGGAAAATCAAGTGACTGTACCCAAGCACCTCCACAGTGTTGTTTCTAAAAACCATTTTTTATTTGGAGCAACAAGTATCTGATTTTCTATTATTTTACTTGAGATTTGCAGCTCCAATGGCTATAGGTATACTTACATGCTTTTTCTAAGGAAAAAAGTGTATTGCATAACAGAAAATTGATCTAACTATGTAATGACAAGTATCCTTCTTGGGAGGTGTAAGCTATCCGATTTCACTGCTAGCCTTCATTACAGAGGCATGCTTCAGAAGTGCTGCTGAGGGCCGGCCCGGTGGCTTGGCGGTTGGGTGCGCGAGCTCCGGTGCTGGCGACCTGGGTTTGGATCCCGGGCTCGCACCGACGCGCAGCTTCTCTGGCCATGCTGAGGCCGCGTCCCACATGCAGCAACTAGAAGGATGTGCAGCTGTGACACACAACTATCTACTGGGGCTTTGGGGGAAAAAA